ACATGATTAACATTTAGATTATTTTAATTAATTAATTAAATTAAAATCAATATTTATATTTTTATTAAAAATTAATTATAAAAAACATATCAATTATATATTTTACTTGTGCCATAAAAACACAAGATTAAAAAACTCATATATTGATAATATTAAATGATGTACCAAATATCTTATTGCATTACTAATTTTTTTCCTGAGGCCAAGGGTTGGCCCTTCTTCAGTCCACCCCCCAGACACGGCAACTATAACAGCAAGAATATTCCTTCATCCACGCCTAAAAATTTCATTATCAATTTTTTTTACATCCAGTCTTCTCCGACACAGTATTCGTTTTATATCCAGTATCCGATGCAGTCTTTTTTTTATATCACAATTTACCACATAGTATTTCGGCTTAAATTAAACCTAATGGAAATAAAATAGGAGCAGGACATTAGACTTTTATTGGGCCAGATATGGTATTATAATTGGGTTAAAGCCAACTGTCGTCTCTCTTCTTTGTGAAAAAGTTCAATTTAACCCTTGTACTATGGAATCACCGCAGGTCATCCCTCTACTTCATTTTGAGATCACAGGTTCTCCCTCTACTATTCAAAAAGTAATCAATTTCATCCCTCCGTCCATTCCATGGGTAACACCATCACTTTTAACCTTTAAAGCTTAACTGTTTGACGTTTAACATATATTTTTATATTATTCTTTTCTTCAATTTGCCTATAATAGAATCTACCAATGCCGCATTATATTCCATATTAATATCTTTTTACATGAATATTGTAGCAACTTCTTTTTCTCAATTATTAGCTATGTTTATTTATCTCTTTTTATTAACTTTTTAATTGAGTCAATCAAAAGGATATTTTTCAAAACTATGGTAGGTAATCAAGTGAATTTAATTCTTTTTTTAAAAAAAGAAATAGATTAAATTTTTTGAATTCTATTAAGACTTTAAGAGTCAAAAAGATTATAACTAGAAAGGAAAAATTCCTAATACCTATTAGTATCCTTTTAACTATGAGTTTTGGGTGGTTTAAGTGAGTTCATAATTTGTGATTTTATTTATGTACGTAGGTGGGCTAAGCAAGTACATGGGTGAAGCATTTGTCTATATTTGTATTTAATTTGAAAATTAATAGATATAAAATTTTGATATTTAATATTTACTCAAGTATTAAAAATTTATCCTCATCATTCAACTTGCTGAGTATAAGTATACTCGCAAATGTGCTTATATATTTGTCGAATATTATAACTTTTTAATACAAATTAAAATATAATTAAACCTATTGCAAAACATACATTATAATTCATACACAATATATAAACATAAATTTATTGAATGCAATAGTTTGATATGAGAAGTATGTCCTTAAAATAGTCTAGATAAGGACTAGTCTCAAGATGCAAAAAAGTTGATTTGGAAACACCTTGATTATAAATATCAAAAAAATAATACATAGACAAAAAAGTGTATGACTGTATACTTATAATAAAGTACATAATGAAGTTGGAATACAAACACAAAAGGTACTAATTAAGGATTCAGTGTTTTATTTTATATATGTCAATTTTTATTTATTAATTTTAGGAGACATTTTTTGA